ATTTCGTGATTTGGAAAAAACATGAGCAATTTTTGCTTGTAACAGCTTAATATGTAACTTTTCCATTAAAACCCTTCATAAAAAATTAAAATGTTTGACTAAAAATTTTAAAAATGACGCATCTACTATTTTACGATGAAAGAATTCTGTTTTTTTTCTAAAAAAAGATAAAGAAGCTAATTCACATGCACTTGGAAGGAATTTAGGGACTTAAGTTTTTTTATTTTCACTGCAACTAGTGAAAACTGTTTAATATTTAATATTCTATAAAAGCATATAACTATTTAGCAATTTTTATTTCAAGAAACTATTGGAAATTTAACTATGAAGCAATTACGTGTACTTCTCACTTGTAATCGGTTTAACGAAACTGTTGCAAGACATAAATAACCGTGTCTGCATCTTATCGCTGAAATCGATCACAAGTTCAAGTTATACGCGCAATTATTGTTCAGTGCAAAACCGCGCAGGATATAACGACGTTCCTGTTCTTCGCGCATCTACCGGGTGACAACTAATTCCCAGCGAACCCGGTTAAGCCTTTCTCGTTGGTTCCCCCGCGTAATTAGAAGGGACAAACTCCGAGGTACGCGAGGTTGTCTTCCGCTAATTTGCATTGGTTTAACAGCCGGTTTCAGACTGCTTGGCGTCGCGTTACGTGGCCATCCTCTAATTTGGAAGGGCGACAATGAGAATCACAACACCTTAGCCCTCTCTTTTTCGTGAACGATTGTTTTTCGCGCGACGCGACTTATTATTCGATCATTTTTACCTTCCGTAATCTTGTCATAATTTTCCTTCACTTGTGCACAAATATTTTTTTAACAATATTTTATTTATAATATAAGAAATCTAGTATGGAAATAGTATTATCCTACAAGAAAGGTGAAAAATATAGCTATAGAAAATATCTAAAAATTTCTGGGAGCAAAGAAAAGAATGATTCCAGCAATGGAAAATAAAAGTTTAAGCTAATTCACTAATTACAAGAATTAGAATGAGAAATTTTTGTTTGCTTAGTCATATTGCACACGATGTATAGACGTGCATGTGATCAACGCGTAAATTGTTATTATCGTGACATTATTGTTGTTTGTTAATAAAGGCAATTACACGATACCTGTGCTTCTATTGTGATTACATACGACTAATAATATCAGAGGGAAAGCTAGTACTTGGCTAATAGTGTGGTGATATTATACATCTCAATACTTCCCGTTTCGATATCAATGATCGTTACCATTGATGATGCTACTCAATACGTTATTGTTTCATATGTTATAGTTCGGATATTATGTGATATTGTTTCCAAATTCAAAAGCTCAAGCGAGCTAGAAGTCACTAAAAAATATTTTGCACTGTGTGTTATTATTGAATATATCCATTGTTACGGAAAATTCTATATTAATTCCAAAATTTTACTTAAATCTTTTGTCACCGCTATCATTAAAATTACAAAACGATATATTTTTACTCAACGATCAAATCGTATTAATCAAGATAGTGCTAATAATCGAAGAGATGCAAGCTGTAGTACTTTTCCTCGTTTGCCATCTCCGGATTTAGGACCGACGTCTTCCTCTTCTTCCTGATTGGATGTTCTCCCTACCATACAAACTTCATACTCAGTTCCTGCAAACTTTATATTGCAATAACGAAACGCCACTGGTAAAGCCAAAAATAAAATTGACAATTTATGGGAGTTGTACGGTGAAACGAGCCTGCATACATTCATGATGAGCAATATTTCTTAGAAGAATTGCCGATTTAAAAAAGCATATTTCTCTTAAAATAACATGTTATTGTGAAATGAGAAATGTGACATGATAAAAAAGACTAATATAACAGATATAGGTAAAGTAACAATTAACAAACAACACATAAAGTGTAATATTAATTTACATTTAAGAACGAGATTTACGTACAGTGCAATCGCGTATGATTACATCTTATAATTTAATCTAATTGTAATTTAATTTTTTATGGTGGCGAAGAGAAAGTATAATTTGTAAGGATCTAATCAGGAGGATAGCTTACTTAGAAAAGCAGCATTTTGCTCATGAATGTTATGTGGTTGCTTGGTGATTTCAATTTAGATCTCCGGTTTAATTTATCCGACGCCGCACACTTAAGAAGCTTTTTATATAGCAGCAACGTATATTTAATCTCATTTTCCGCGATACATCACAGCTTATCTTCACACACATGGCTTGATATTTTACAGTGATGAATCTAATAAAATTTTCAAATATCTGCAGTGCTCTTTATAGTCAATATTTGTCTGGCAGTACTTTCATTATCTTCTTATCAATGCCAATTTTATTAATAAATTAAATTTCTTATATTGTTTGTGTGTGCCGTTATTTTTCTTGATTTATATACCTTAACAAATTTGTTATTTCAAATTATTTTTGTTAATTTTTCAAATAATTTTTTTTTTTAAATTAAGACTAATTAATAAAATCATATCTTGCTTATCTGCAGACGCGCGCGCTCGCATGTAGGAATATAAATAATTACTAATATATATTCTACCGCAACGAAATTAATCTCATTTGTGCGCAATGAGTCGCAAATTGTTATTCTCAGTCGATAATCCATAATTATTCATTACGCTCATGCAACTGTAAATAGTTGTTATTAATTTAGCCCAGCGGCTGCTTTTTGTGCATATTCGACCGAAATGACACTTCGCATTTGTTCAAATTATTGGTCAATTCGCGGAAGTATGCCTCGGTAATAATAATTACTTGTTACAAACAAAATATTATGCCGAAACAAAAAAAATACTATGAGATAATATCTTCAAACAAAGAATATTGTGGTTTTTAATAATTAACGATGTAGAAGAATGTAAGTAATTAATATCAAAGAAGAGATATATAGCAGTTAGGCAAACTAATTTGTCAAAAAAGAAATGATATTCACATCGAGCATAATGAGCACTCTGTGCAGAGTTTCATGGAAAGCATATTTAAACATGGATTAAATTTGCCTAATTAAAAATTTGTCTAATTAAAAATATATAGGTAAACTTGTAAAAGGCGTGCTTTCCCGTTTAACATTATTCATTGTAAAAATGACATGAAAAGTTGCAGAGTGTGAATCATAAAGTATTACAATGTAAAAATCACTGAAAAAATATATTTATAAAAAAAGGATTTTAGAAAAAGATGCTACATTTTGATAATAATGATTGGCATAGGATTGGCGTAAAGTTCGCGATTCTTATTAGTGTACGTCGCTAAAAAATTTATAAAAATTTATTTATAGAAAACTCAACCTAGAAACTCGACTATAATTGACATATGGCACAGAGTTCACAATTTTTAAAAACGTATGTGCAGAGATGGAGATTAAAAACCGATAATAATTTATTCATAGAAAACTCGTGATCGGATGATCGCGCGAGCCTTGATTCTATTAATTCATTGCATGCGACGTTGCTCTGACGATAGGTCTCGAGAGACAGGCGTCTCTAATTAACCCGACACCCACTATAGACACAGGTATTATAGCTGCATTGTATCCACGTGTTAATCGAATTGTCCCATGCGTGCGAGTGCGTCACTTGCGAATCTCGCGATAAATTCGAGATTTCGAATTATGAATTCTCTTCTCATTCGCGCCGATCCTCCTGTATTATTACAATCCTGTGCTTTATGTTTCGAATTTCTCTTTGAAATGGAGCTTGGTTCCTGTTGGTTAATGGTATGACTAAACAAACGAGTAATTTACTAAAAGGACGATCAAGGAGCTCACGTACTAAAAGTGTCACAACAAAACTGACACTAATACGCGCGCTGTCGAATCTTCTGATGCAAAGCTGCAGTATTGTCGCGTCTGTTTTACTTAAAGCCTCTGTTGAATATTAAAAAACGAAATTAACATTAAACACGAAGAGAGTGTCGCGAACGTCAACGCGCGGCATCGCAACACCTTCGTTTTCGTTTTAATTGTGACTATTCAGAAGCGCTCCGTGACCAGCGTGGAGAGCACGCGGTGCGTTGCGTTGCGTCGCGCCGCGTCGCGTCGCGTAGCGTAGCGTAGCGTCGCGCCGAGCGGAGCGCGTTCCCGCAATAAAAGCTCCGCGCCGTTCCGCGTCTGAAGCGCGCGCGATTAAAAAGTGCAAAATATGAATGCACCATGGCGCATTTCGTCGTACGGAACGGTCTTTTTTTCACAACGGTCACCACCGTGCCGACGGTCCGAGGTAGCGTCGCACCGCCGTGTCGCGTCTCGTCTCGTTGTTTCTTTCCCCTTATTTTGTTCGAACGCGTTTACATTCGCGCGACGCGCACAACAGCCGGCTTTAAATATGCAACTCGCGCGACGCCCCGGCGTAGCTTCCGCCGCGAGAGACGCGCACGTATGTCCGCAACGTCGACGACGTTATTGTTGATTCGCGAATTAGATGCAAGCACATGTTAAAATTGAAGAGATTAGAGACAGAGATACATAAATGTGTTTTGAACGTGAGAGAAATATCATTTGTGATAAAAGATGTCAAATTTGCAAAGTTAAGCAACGGACAATAAAAAGACCAGAAAAGCGAATCTTGCTTTTCCGTCAAATTAAATTTTAATATATATTTGTAGCTAATTTCGCCTGCGTGTTGTTCTCGCAAAGCAATAAATTAAGCAGCAACCAAAAAGGTTAAACTTGAAATAGCATTTGAATATAAATCTACGTCACAGCTAATAAAAAGTAACGTAAAATAATGTCAGAAATAGTAATAATAAGAATGTTACAATATTATACTTATTAAAAACATTAATAAATGTCTTTAAGAAATCTTCTTAGAAAAAAATGTTAAAATTGTTAATATAAATTATAGCAGAGACCCGGTAAACGTTCTATATTTCTTGTCTATTAAATTGACAATTACGATTGCAAATCACGGTACCTATGTTTTCAATCAATCGACGCGTGGCGTTGAATTACCATAAATTAATATTACGCGTTATACCTGTGATTGAAGTAAAATTCGAGATATTCACCTGTCATAGTAGTAGTCCCTGAAACATAGAATAAAAACAATTCATATTAGATACATAATTAATAGAAACATGTTATTATTATTATTCAATATAATACATCGCTTTTTTCTAATTGCATATATTTAGAGTTCACTAAAACCACAATTACGATCCATGTTATCCAACGAAGCAATAAACTATGTTTGAAGAAGTGGATTTTGCCTAAAACGAATGTATACAGGGTGTGGTCTAATTTTACACATTGTCGAACGTTTTGTATCGCCGCGCAAGTGACAATTTAATTAATATACCATAATATTGTTTAATAACAATCACGCGATACAAAAGGCGAAACGCAGGCGTGAAAAATGTTCACAAATTCACATCGACCGAAATATTCGAATGTTATTCCGCAGTCTGTATCGCGGCAATTGAACACAAATGCCGAATCGATTGACGATTACCAGAGCGTGTAATTCGAACTACAGCGTTCTCCAAAAGAGAACTAAATAATATTTTCTATCTGTTATATAAAGAGATTTCAGTTTTTTGCGATTGAACTTATTATATTATCTGTTAAATTTTCTGTTTACGACATGAAAAAATGAATAAAAGAGCGTCCAATACAACCTTTGTATTTTCACATCGTTAAAGTAAAATCCTACTTTAAAAGAGGCGTGTTATTTACTTTTGAGGCCCCTTTTCCGCGTTAATTGGTCGATTCGCGTTGCGCGTTATTACGTGTCATCGAGCGATTGTCATCGCTACGTTCACGTGAACGGTTTTGTTTATTACTTGTTCATTACTAATCGGTTGTCATCAAGACAATTGCGTTTGACATTACTTTGACAGCTTGTGTTTTTGTTACTATATAAAAAGCAGAAGTGTTTAACAAAAAAAGTAGAAATTTAAATTATTAGATAAGCGCGAGAAAAAATCGCGCGCGCACAGCGCATTACATTATGTAATAGTCATTTTTTAGAACTTGTTGTATCTGCTCATATCCAGCGTATTTATGTTCATAATATATCTATATTGCTGTTGGCTGTTGGTAAATTCAATCCTTTGTAAATTCGACTCTTTTATTAAAAAAATGTAGTCTTTTTATAAAACATCACAGTTTTGCAAATCGTTGAAATATATAAGGCTAGAAATTGTTGGCCACTTTGTAATATTTCTGTCATTTTCCAGTCTCATTACAGAAAGCATATCGCTTTATATAAAAAAAAGCTGGTAAAGTGTTCAACGTTTTTGTAACAATCGATTTTACATACGCCACAGGCGTCATAAATTGTATTTCAACAATCGTATGAATATATTCGTTCAGCCTCTTGCGAGGTTTCCAACAAAGGTTCCAAAGATTTTCAGACACGAAGCCAGCAGAGAGCCGACAAAACGAATCTCCTGGTAATCGAATCGCGTCGAACTTTAATCGAATTCGTCCTGCGAGGAGCGTTTCGGTCAATAAATGCTCCATTAGCTGCAGTTTAAACGTGCGATTTCTCGCGGCAAAAAGAACGTAACTGCGAGCCTTCCACTGCGAAACACTGATAAAATGGTTGCGTTTTAACGGGAAATTGCCAATTACTTTGATCGTAACGTTAATATGGCGGTATGCAGATTTACCACTTTTTGTAATGCAAGAATCTTTCGAGCTCAAAAATTCTGACATTAATGGATTTTGCGATTACGTTTAAAAAACAAAGTTTAACAACATAATTAATTTAGCTATCGGTAATTCTAACAAATTTCCTAGCTTGAAAAATTAAGTTTGTAGCCAACTTTGTTGCAAAAAGGACGGGGAAAAAGAAGTATCAAAATAAATTGTTTAATAATTAATTTCTTTGTTGATGGTGAGATATTTAAGAAATCAAAATAATAAGCATTGTGTTAAAATAGTCAGCTTCATTATTAATTTACTCAATAATATGTTATTTAAATTTAAACGCTAATTTTGATAATTTTAGATGATAAAAAAAGATATAAACTATACATATATAATTAAAAATGCGACACTCTATATGCAGTGATCTCATTTGCTGCGTTTTGTTATGGTTTCTTATTTTATCCGTCGTGTTTCGCCGATCCAGCTCTAAGTCTGCCTTTAACTACCCAAATATATTACAAAGTAATCCTTCTGTCTGATAGCGCGATGCTAAACAGCGGAAAAGCTTCCAAAAAAAAGCGAGTGAAAAGTAAAGACACTTTAGATAACAAACGCTATTGCCTTCTTCACTTTGCCTTTGAATTTGTCGATGAATACTGAAAGCTGGACAATGTAAAATTTTACGTCAATTAATTGTAGACTGTTTGATGAATCCTTAATTTTATCTTTTTATTTTTTTATTTATGTTAGTAAAAGGCAACCATATATCGATCAATGAATATTTCTTTATCACTGATTCTTATATTTTAAGACAATCTACATATATATATGACAAATCATTTTTGTTTAGTTAAACTGTTATGTCACGCAAACGACTTTTTTTGAATTTTTATTTATGCAAGAAATACAGAAAGCTTAACTTGCATGCGGTTTTTTTATTTCTTTTCATTTTTCGATTCACTCTCATATAATTCAATAAAAAAGAGAAAAAAGGCGAGAAACGTGGAAAAATAATTATGGCCTTTTACCGTTTCACTAGAACCACGATTGTGAAATGCGTGGACGGCGTTCGTCACCGAACGTTTTCACAGCGCGTCACGACGCGTCACATCGGAAAAATAGTTGGCGGAATGGCCGAAAATCGATCACGCACGAAAATCGAAAAGCGGAGACACGTCCGAAACACGCGTGCTGCAGAATAAAAAGGACACCGTCCTAAACGGCCGCGTGTATCGAAAAATGGCGCCGCAATTAGGATGTCGGGCGTCGACCCTTTGTTATTTAAAATGTCCATAGTTTGACATTCTGCTTTTTTTTATTTATTCAGTCATTCGTTGTCGACTGGCGACTTTTCGCCGATCACGTACCGACGTACCGTCTCTTGTTTCGTTTTTATGAAACCGTTTACTCTTTGACGAATTTTTCAGATATTACATGCCAGCGACAATTGTACAAATGTGTTTAAACATACGTGCGAGTTAATGGAAAATCAGGAATCACGAACAATGCAAAATGCAAGCAAAAGTATAACGGGAGAGAAATTAGCTTGAATAAATTTTAGTAATAGGAAAACCAATAAAAAATCTAAGTGCAACTGTGGTTCGCAATTATAATAGTTGCCGTAATGTAATAGTGCGTAAATATCGTCGAAGAAAAAGGACCGAAAAAATGATTCTATTTTATTTTGATATTCGTTTCAATGGCACGCTTTCATTTTATTTCATTATTTGTTAATTCGCAGTCCATTATCTCATGTTAGAAGTACATTTTAAAATAAACACTGCTTTTTACGAAATTAATTTATTAATATCCACACGTCCCACACATTATTTTACTTGAGTAATTTATTCTGGCTTCACGCTGCTACTTTCTTTTTAATATTAATTTATTGGTATTCGTTTCCCAGTATATCTCATTTAATTAAACAGCGCATTTCAAAGTTATACCGTTACTATCTTTTAAACATTAATTTGTTAACAGCCATACAGGTGCAAACTCCGCACTCAGAGACAGCTATTGTTATTATCATTATTATGATTATTAATGCAATGTGCTTTCCTAACAATTACCAGTGGCGCGCGTCTGCAAATTGAGTTGATTACACAAATTATTTATAACATGTGATCCATACGTCTCATCGAAAAGAGAGGACTGAGGGCAAAGGAAATGCATGCCGATAAAGCACGCAGTGTTTTTGCGAATAAACGTTAAACCATTAGCACGCTTTTATGGTAGCCATTTGCGCGCGCGGACTATATCTTTCTCCTTCTGTTTCTCTCTCGCTCACTAATTTCTCCCGCCGAAATTATCACCGTTATTCACACTATTTGTGTTATTTAACAACAGAAAGCGCATTACGGGGAAACTGAATACTCCCATAGATGATGAACGCATAGAAAGCATACTCGCATATTTTTATATACGAATTTATTTTAAATAAATATTTTCTTTGCAAATGCCGCATGCTGTGTATGTTGGCATTCCAGCAGAATTCCTGATAATAGAATTAATTCCAAGTTAATCCCGAAATCGGATTAATACACAAAATTAAATTTCTTTAACCCCGGAAAAAGGAAACGATCGAGTAATATGAAGTAACAGAAGTATTCTCGAGTCAATGTAAACATAATTTTAACAATTCCGCGAGTAATTTTCTTAAATGTTTTAAAAAGTGAGTTGGATCGCACAATTACATCAAACTTTTCAATTGTATTTCTCTTTACAATGCATAGACTTTTAATTGCTATACATTTTTTAAACTTATTACATTTTTCTCACGCAAGACACTATAGTGTGAAAGGACCTTATGAACGGAAACCTTAAGCACCTGCAATTAATTACACGAATTGCGCAAATTGTTTACATTTCGCGCGTCGCAAGAGGAGAAAAGGTGGGAAAACGATTTACCTGACTATCGATTCCTTGATTCCCGACGATGCAATTCCCGCTGAAGCATTTGAGGCTGACACCTTTCGATTCTCCATGATACGATTGACTCGTTATCGTAGCGTTATTGGCGAGCGAACAAAAGAGCGTCGATGAAAGGCGCCGCGACGCCGGCCGCGAAGAACAATAGCAGAAGTCGGAGAGAAAGCCAAAAGGGAAAAAGGTCGGAAAAACTCAATGAGAGTAAACGAAATCGAGATCGTGCGCGTCAAGCTTTTTTTGTTCCGATGAACGAAAGGAATCGATAAAATTAGAAAATTTTGTGCGTATATTAAACCTGTAAATGTTATATAGTTTTAAAAGCTAAAGATCTAAAAACCTAAAAATTTATAGTTGAGCACAGAAGTTTTAAAGTTTGTGAATCTAAAACTAATTAATTTAAACATTTCTCGTGTAATAAATCTACATTTCAAGTTCTTAAAAATGCTTCTATCTGTTTAGGTTCTTCAGAAAGCAAATAAAAAAATTCTAAGTGATTTCATATATT